GGGGGGGGGGGGGGGGGGGCCGGGCCCCCTTCGCAAAAGAGCGCATGGGGCGCTAGCGCCCTGGTTTTGCTCCGGCCTGGAAACGCGACTTTCGCGTGGCACTGGCCATCCGAAACGACTGTACTCCTGGCAGGCACTCCATGGCTTCGATGTTCCAAGCCGGGTCTCCTCTCCTCTGGGTCAGGGTCGGTGTCTTCAGGGTCGGTGTCCATAGAAGGACCCTCCAGCACGGCCAAACCTGGGAAGACTTCGCCATGCCATGCTCCAATGCCCTGGCACCTGCCGTAAGTTCAGTTCGCGTAGGCAGGCCTGCAGGCACACCCGGGCAGGACGAGCTGCGACCTGTCGAAACTCGTCAGACCCTTCCTGTCCTCCTGTCCTGTCTTGGTGGCTCAAAACGCGGACCTCGAGGCAAAGCTGCGCAGCCTACAGGAAACAGAAGAAACTTGAGCCACAAAGGTTCATGGCACGCACGGGACGGCTGATTTCAGGACTCCCGGTACGAGTATCAGCCGGCAGCCTTCGGTAGAAGCTTCTTTTTGAGCTGCAAGCTCGGCGTTCGTCGCACAGGAGCTGAAGCAGTGAGCAGGGTTCGCCCAGCGTTGGCTGAAATTTCAGTGAGTTCATGAAGTGTCATTTCAGGGCTCAACGCGAATTATCCCCACTCACTGCCGCAGCCAACCCAGTCTGCCTGGCCACCTCCTGTCCAATCTGCAGCCCAGTCTCCCTCCGAGATGCCGCAACCCGAACATCCGGCTGCACAGCCGGGCCCGCAGCCACCTCCACCGTAGCCGCATCCGCCACCAGCGCAGCCAGAGGCGCAGGGACCGCATGCGCCGCCGCATGCGCCAGCTCCAAACCCCCAGGCGCTGCCGGAGCCCCAGTCGCCCCACTCCTCGTGTCCCCAGGCTCCGCCCTTTCCAATCCCTTTGCCTTTGCTCGGGTCGCCCTTCCAGTCTCCTTTGCCCATTGGCCTCACCGTCGTACGCAGAGTCGTCGCTACACTTCAAGACATCGCAGGCTCGCCACGCTAGGACAGCTAGGATCAAGGCACGGGGACGGGTGGCCGAGGTGGCATTGGAGGACGCGGCGGCGACACCTCAAGGTGCCGCCGTCCCTTCCTTTGAGGGCTTTGTTCTGGCAACCGAAGGCCTGCACCGGCACCGAGGGCCCCAAGGCGATTCCGCCAGCAGGCATAGCAGGCCGAAGAGGCGCCTGCAAGCTGCGCACGACAATCTGGGGGGGGGGCTAAACCCGTCCCTGACAGTCGAGGGAGGCGCCGAAGGGTTGCCGAGGCCGAGGCCCCTCAAACAAGATCACTGCGCTGCATTTCACTACGAGGTCTGCCCCCCCCCCGCTTGGGATCTGACTGCGAGGGCATCCGTCCTCTCAGCTCGCGCTCGCCATGTGCAAAGTGGCATGCGGAGCCTTGCAGCGAAGGAAAAGACTGGCGCAGGCGGCGAGGCGCCCGGGGGCGCCCGGGGCCGGGGCCGAAATTGCAGTTGCCTTGCTCCCAGCGTTTGCAGAACCTTAAGCAAGATCGCGACAATAGAGATAATCCAAGAAGCGAAGTAATAGAGATACTCGGGAGATTGCGAGGTTTTGTACAAGTGAGCCTTGTCGGGCTTCAGACCTCAGGTCCGAGGTCCGTGGGGTTTTTAGGGGAACACAGCTCCCTTGATCGAGCCTGGAGGAATTAAACCCAAGACGTCGGGAGGGTGCGCACCAGGAGGTATGAGGTCTTCCTGCGCCGAATGTCCGAGGTATCCTAAAGCTCAGCGTCCATGCCACGGCCTCCTGGCGCCGCCTTTCTTGCTCAGCTTCTTCAGCTGCCTTTCTAGCCTGGACGATCCATCAGCTTAGGCTTGCGAAGTTCCAAATGATGCTCTCGCCTCTTCAGCCTCTTTCCGGGCTTTGGCCTCTTCCTCCTCACGCTTCCGACGCGTTTCCTACAGGAACACGGCCGGAGGATCGGTTGGGGCTGCGGAGAAGCTTCCTGCAGCAGCGTGGTTTCACAGATGTCCTGGCAAAGACTTCTAAACCCCTCGCCGGACCACGAGAATGAATGACCCCAGCCCGAGAAGCGGAAGCCACTGCGAGTGGGCTTGCAAGGGAAGGGCCCCAACTGCGGGACGCTGGTCCAAGACGGATGACCAGTTATCCGACGGTTCAAGGCCTGTCCCTGCCCAAGCGCAGCTTCGACGAGCCATCTCTGTGAGACAGCAAGCGCATTACAATGATGCCTACATGACATCAAAACTGTTGCAGACCCGCTTTCTGTGGCTGTCAGCCCAGCCAGCCCTGAATGTGCGGCTTCCGCACATACGGCTTGAGGCCCAATAGCTGTGTCCGCCCCTCACGAGGCCAAAAGCGACTTTCGATTGACATGGAGCATTGCGGGACGGACTTCAAGACTTCACTTCTGCAGTAGTAGCTTACTCTTGTTGTGCTGCTATTGCAAGATTGCAAGGCTCGTTTCATTCTGGTCAGAATGTGTCCAACAATTGAAGACACCAGAACGGAGGGAAGAACCTGAACACAACCCAGCTGAGCACGGGGTCACGAAACACATGAAAAACATAGACACTCAATCCCGATTCAATTTCACTGCTAAAGCACCCCTCTGGCCCCCTGGCCTCTTCGGCTTCCCTTCGTCTTCTGTCTTCCTCTCTTGCGATTCTTTCCTCAAGAGTCATCTGGGAAGTGCGGGTGGGGTGGCAGTAGTGAAGTCGTTCGAAAGCCTTGTTGAAAATCCGGGCTCCCGATACGAGACGTGTGCAAAAGTACAAGCCTGCCTGCTCGTCTCTCTCCATCTGCTCACGCTTCTCCTCAGAACGAATACTAAGCGCAGATTGCGTCTTCTGGAAAGTGTACATCGCCAACTCAGCAGCAATATCGGCTGAGCAAGCCCGTTTGCGTCCTCCTCAGCAAGTGTCTCTTTCCATTTCTCTAACTCCTCCACCGTGATCTGCTCAGCCTTTCAGGGCACTCCGGGACTGTCAAGAATGTCGTTGCGTACATGAGGGGAAGGGCACGGCACGCGAAAAGCTACGAAACGCGCATCGGGCAACGCCCAACGCGGCCTCGCCATCGCTCTCCTCGCTGAGCTCCTCCTGCCTTTCATGTTTTGGATTGAACGGGCCTATCGGCCTAGCAAAGGAAGAGTGTCTCTTTGGTCCAAGTCTCCACTTGCGCTTCTTGGTTGATGCGGTGCTCTTCCTGGCAAGCCGGCACAGCCGGCTTAAGAGGAGGCATGCATGCAAAACAAAAGGCGCGGCAAAGCGAGCCGGCACTGCTTGGAAGCGGCGGCGCTTGGCTTGGAGGCTGCGTCCCCTTTGGGTTTGCGGCCCAGCCTAGACAGAGAAGGCACCAGAAGGGCAAGAAGCAAAGCCCAAAGACCAAAAGGCAGAGGAGCATGGCACATGGCCCATGCGCGCGGCTTGGAAGGGGGCATTAACAGCTGGCTCATTGAGAGGCTCTCTTGAGAGGACTCTCTAAGAGGGCGGCGGAAGTAAAAATTCGGAATGCGAAGGTAGTAGCTTCATCAAAGGTCAATGCACCCAGCAACTCATCCACATGCAGGCTATCAAATCAATTTTGTGTCCAGCTTCCTATACAAGTCAGGGCGTGCCACATGCTGCAGTCGTATTCGTGGACTGAAGCACATCTTTTGCTGTGCACAGCCTGGCATCCAGCTCCAGCTCCAGTTCGTCACAGCTAGCCCGGAAGCCATTGTCTGTTAAGGAGCGCTGCACGACAGCAGGGCCGAATGAGCGGCGCAGCAATGACTCTTCGCCGGAGATCGCTGGAGGTGCCGCGAAGGACTTCGGAGTCCAGAAGTCATCCTCCGCTTGCTGACAGCGCTCCAACATCCTCGGTCCAAGGCCTCAGACGCGAACGGCCAAAGCGGCGAAACCTCTGCGCCGCTCAGAGGCTGCGACAAGCTCCGGAACGCACCTCTCCAAGAAGGCCCTGCAAGCACAACCGACTCGCCATGGATCCTACGGCTGCCTTGACCTTCTTACGTTGCCAATGTGCGAATGAAAAGCATACGCGACAGCTCCCATGCAGCCCGAGTCTCCTCTCGCTCTTGCTTCGACGAGAACCCTTCACGGTACCACGAATGTGTCGTACGACGTTGGCTACAGGGCACAATGACCCGAGCCTCCAAAAACCGCCCTCGCATCCATCTTCTTCTGGCCAGAGCAATCAAAAGTACCGGCCCTGGAACTGAAGGTTTCGCCCAGTCAAATTGAGGGGAGAGTGACAAAAAAAACCGCTCTTTGGCTCTGGACGTTTAGCCAAGCCTGAGCCTGCATGGGTTTCGGAAGGTTCCGGCATCTTGGCGCCTCCAGCGCTCGCCGGCGATGGGCGCAGAGCTCTCTGAGCACCGGCAGCAGACGCTCCGATTCCCAGAAATTTGCGCCTCTCCAGGAAGCTCCAAAAGCCACCGTTTGAGCGGTTCTCGGTTTCTTGTGCCCCTGGCCTTGGTCGCCTCGGTCCACCACCAGATCTCCCCGAAGGGCCTTCAGGTGCTCTCGCTGCAGCTCGGCCAGATCTTCCCTCACAAGCTGCTCGTCTGCATAGCCTGGGACCACCCGGTACCCGCATCAGCACCACACACCGCAGAACTCTAACTGAGGAGCTCTGTACAGCAGTTTCAAAGTCGTCGGCGAGCCAGTTGCCTGGTGTGGCATGTCTGAAGCGTGTTGGAGGTGTCATTGCCGCGACAATGGCCTCCTAAACCCTTTGCTGCCCGCTCGGTGACAGATCGGAGGCTGTGCTGAAGAAGCAAAGGCTGATCCAGCACCTGTGCGTGGTGCAAAAACGTCGTCTACAGTTTAGACGAACTTGCAAGGAGCCATAATATAGGCAGCCAAGGTACTTCCGCAAGGTCAGAACCCTCCTCTGCATTGCATTGGCTGGCAGAACCTTCCGTCTCATGCACGGTTGCAGCCGCTTCGGCGTAAACCTGAGGTTCAGTCCTTCCGGCATGCGACAGCATGTTACTAAACGGCCCGGAACTGGGTTCGGGGCTGCTTTGCAGTCCTCACGTAGATCCCGCAAAGCCTTCACAATGTCGGCCCGGTTGGCATGCGGAGACCTCCGGCAAACACAAGCCCGAGCCAAGACCGAGTACCTGCAAGCCCACGAACCTCAGCCAGATCCAGGCCACCACAGCCAAGGTGCCTGGAAGTGTCTGAGCTGTGCCGAGATGTCAGACTATCATGTGACACCATGCGAAATTCGCAGGGAGATCGGTTTGCTTCGGCTCTTCCACGCCCATGACGGGACCCTACGACCCGGTAAAGCATGCAGATATGAAATTGCCTCGCTGCTCGATGCAGTTGGCCGGGACAGCGGCACGGCACAGCTTACAGAGTACGTAGAACACCAATCCAAAGTGGCACCAAAATGCTGTCCAATGTGTGCACAATGCCCAGCCTGCTGCTGTCAAGCATGCCGCGGAAGCAGCCCACGATGATGAATGCATGGAGTACGTTCAAGCCAGTTCCACACCGCTGAGCATTCTCGATACTCTGCTGAACGGCTGTTGAAGGGCTCAAATTGCTCTTGAAATGAGGGGATGGCACGGTGTCGACTTCGTTTGATGCGCTGCATTGCGACGTGTTCTCACAGATCCTACTGCATCCGTCATGGCGTATGCTGCTTGAAAGGCAGTGGAGGACTCAACGTTTCGGGCACTGGCCAATGAAAAGACTGTGCAGGTCACGCAGGCCACTTCCGCCTTCGCACTTGGAATGCTTGCAAAGCCTGCCCTCCATGCCTGTCCCAAGAGGGCCTGCTGCACAGCGAGTGTGCCACGCCTCGCCATCGTCCCGCTTTGGGTGGCTGCTCCTTCATTTTTCTGGCGTCGTCCGCTTCGGGGGCGGCATCCGGCCGCGAAAGACACCTTTGCTTCCTCCGGAGAATTTGGATTTTCAGGGATCATTTTGGCTCTGGCCCGTTGTACTACGGCCCCAGACGATCCCAATCGCCTCACGCCGGCCTCGGTTTCAGGAAGTGTCCTGCGACGACGTGCCTTGGAAGGCCGCTCATTTGTGGGGCCACTCAAGGTCGCGTCTCTGCCATATCCAACCCTTGGTAACAAGCATTGTAGAGGCGGGAATTGGCAAGGATGCCCGGCGATGGTCGTCATCGCATAGCATGGGATTTCCGGACTTTTTCCCCGCCATGTCCACGCTCGTCAAGCTGCGAGATGTGCCTGCAGGCGGGGCCTAGGGCTGTCACGCATGCCGGCGCCCTCCCACCTGGCGGTACGAGGGCGTGTTCCAGCCGGGGATGATCACCACCGCGGACACCTGCAGGGCCCGACACCAGCAAACAGGAAGCACAGAGGGACAGATCATGTGTGGATGCTCAAGGACTTAAGGCTTCAGTGAAGGAGATCAATTCACAGATGCATGGATCGGTGCCCCCATATAGCGAACCATGTGGGTACATGAGATGAATACTCCGACACATATGCGCATACATGCGTGGATGAGCATGCGGAATGGATGCTATGTGTTATGCAATAATGATTGCAATAATGATATGTACACGCATATTGAGGATATGAATATGTCTGTGGCGAAACACGAACAAGCACATCTAGCCGCATCGGGATAGGCATCGTGAAAGACTGTGTTCGCTACAGTACCACACAAAACTACCATGCCACCAAGTTTATCTTGTGACCTTGTCACCAATATGTGTCGTGTCAAGTAAGATTACAAGTTATCTACACCAGACACTGTCTGCAAGAACAGACGGGCCATGCTGAGGATGATGAGACTCGGAAAGAAGCCACCCCATCCGTATTCCTGGACCTCGGCGCCGTGGAAGGCTTCTGCTACACGGCTCCGCATGGCTCCGCGGCTGTGGGGCCCAGGCCAACAGCGCAAAGGGCAGTCCTCAACCCCACAAAGGATCAGCGTCACACAACTCGCCCTGAACTTCTGCGCCTGCACACATTGAGCCCAGCTGCGCCGGATAGGCCAACAGACCTGCACCAGGCAGTCTGGGTAAGGGATGCAGAGACTGCTGCCCAGGCCTCCAGCCGTTGCAGCAGCCTTGCGCGGCACCTGCGACCCACGCAAGCGGGATCACACCAGTGGCTAGGCTGGGAAGAGCAGCTGGGCCCACCGTCTCTACTCCAGTCATGGTGATCAGGGTCTGCGGCCCATAGATGGCGAAGCCTCGCATGCACATGCTCTCTATGATTCTCTAATATGGGATGCCACTGTTATACTCGCGCAAAGTCTCAGAAACTGGCCGAAGGCAGCCATCGCAAGCCATTGGAGGACCTGCGACACTCGCTCTAAGTCTCTAAGTTGTCACACTTCACAAAGGCATTTTACCGTGGCTTCAAGGACGCGGCTGCAAGAGGCGGTACCACCCACAGACAAAAGACCTAGACTCAGGTCGGTCTGCAAATCAGCACCTATCACTGCGAAGTCCCGGTCTCAGGTCGGTTCCGCAGCGGCTGCGAGAAGGGAGTATGCAATCATCACCTCGAGAGCTCAAAACGTTGACCACAGGCTTCGCATGCCGCCGTCGTCGTGGCAGGGCCCCAGGCCTGGGCTCGCAAGCCCGCGGCTCCTCGCTTCGGGTAGCGGCTGATCAGCCAATCGGAGACCTCCGCGGCCGCGAGGGCCGAGAGGCGCGGGCCGCGAGATTCGCGCGGGGCTTCGAAAGCCGCGGCTAAAGCGCCGCGCCTGGCCGGAGACGATGCAGCCGAGCAGGCCTCCCCAAAGAGAGCGCGCGCGCTTTTGCGCTCCACGCTTATAGCGACTCGCGGCGCCTCCGAGTTCGAAGCCGCTGACTCGCGCCGTTGCCTCCACCAAGTCCAATGCCACGTCACTGCCAGGAGCTCTTTATCTGTAGGGGGGGCCTCCAGGGCTGGAACACCAAACTCATCCATGATGTAGAAATGCGCCTCAATTGCTAGACATCTCGACTGCCGTGCTTTGGGAGATTGGGAAGGCAATCACCATGATAGTGCTCAAGCCCCTCCCACACACGTTTTGGTACGAGCTGTGCTAGAGAGCGAAGTTGATCCTTGTCGTGAGACAAAGACGAAGCTATGCGCGGCCGACCGCATCGAAAGCGAACCGCCCAAAGAAGGCACGAAGCGGCGGACGGACGCAAATTGAAGCCAGCGCACCGAAAGGCTCGAGCCCCAGCCTTCCCGGCTGCCCCCACCATGGGTCAATACCCAAAACGGCCTCTCCCTATCGCAGCTGAGAGGCTCAAGGAAAGTGAGGCAGGCAGAAATTGGAGCAAGAGGGAAGGCCGGGGAGTCACTCAGACTCCAAAGTCCGGTCTGGCACGGAGAGCCAATGTCCGTATCTGACGCATCTTTTGCACGGTGAGCTTGAGCTCAGAAAGCTGGGCCAACCCATCACACATGTAGATCCGTGCGGTTCCGGTCGAAGTCCAGCGGCCCTTGAGGCATAAATCTTGCTGGGAGGTTAATTGTCCGCCGAAATTGGTGAGTGGCTCCCCCACGTCGCAAAGAATACCACCGGTAGGGTGCCTCGATATGAAGCTTTTGAAGTAACTTCCGCTGCAGTCCCGGAGGGACTGAGGAAATCTGGTCCCCCACGCGTAGCCCAAAATAGATGCGGGGTGGTGGCGGGAACACGATTCACGAATCCAAAATGGTGAACGTAAGAACTCAATGTTCAAGGCAGCCGGTAAGATGAAGTGAAAGCATTTCTGTTTTGCTCAGGATTAATGTTTCTGTCAGGATACAAAACGCGGTCTGTGCGCCAGCCCTTCGAAATCGTGCTCCGCTGCGCGGTACCTGTTTTGGGCTCATGGGGCGGTCTTGCGAGCACCCTGAAGTGGCCTTTGAGACTCTAGGGTCCGTATAATGTTGTAATCTACTCTAGCATAAGAAATTCCATGGTTTCGTGCACAAGAAGTTCCCCCAGCTTTGCTGCCGTCACCGGCAACCCTGTGCTGCCATAGGCCAAACATGGCCTTTGCTGCTTGCCAGGACAAGGCACCCAATTAAGCACACCTTGCCGGATGAAGTAGATGAAGAAGTGCATGGCCTCAGGCGATCTGCCTGCTTCTGCTAGCGATGGCGCAGGCAGTGCCGAGGCCAGGGAGCAGGCTGCCATGCACCACAGAAATCTGTTTTGAAGAAGCGAAGCCCAGACCTCTTCGAGCAGAGATTACAAAGTGAAGTTCTCTTGTTTGAGCCCTTGCCTTCTCGCTGGAGTCCTCCACCACTGCAGGCTCAGCGCTTGAACTGGGCGCCTGTGAACCGTTTCTCTCCCGCGGCTTCACTGCCCTCGTGCAAAGTGGGTTTAGGGCACCTCGTCCGCAGACTCGAATCTTGGGGCAGCCCAGTCCTCCCGAGCAAGCAAACACGATCCGATGACCGGAGGAGGAGCATGATGACTCCGATTCTTTTGACCGCAGGAAATCGGAAAACCGTAGGTTCCCGTTAAGGAAATGGCCCAGATTGGGACGGCTCACCGAAGGCTCATTAACATGCGCCAGCCTTTGCCAGCATCAAGAAATGCTCATCCCGCTGAGCATACGACTCGTCGAGGGATGGGTGCTGCTGCTTTCTTCAGCTCGCCAGCTGAGCTCGTTTACAGGCATTGTAGACGAAATCTGTGAGGGCCTCGGCGCGATTTGCACGTAAAACACGACAAACAACCAACGCAGCCATCCTCACAGCGTTTGCGGACCATCAAAGCCGGGCACCGAGGCTTGCGCCATTCCAAAGGCAACCCTTGCAGTGCCCCAGCCCAGCTGCATGCGAGCTTGAAGAAATTTGGCGGATGCCCACACTGATTCCTGTTTGCATGTGTTCGACAATGAGGCACCCGAGATGAATAGCGGAAACCATCGCCTGTTGCACGGCGCCGTGCCACAGAGTGCCCATGTGCCTCCGCCAAAATCGCCTGTGCCGGTTCGACTTGCACATAGCATTTGCGTCATGCAACACATGGTGCTGGCAAAACCACTGGGTGGACAGCGTCTTGTCTGGCCAGCGCTCCATGCCGACCTTGCTGCTTTCACAGCAAATGTGGTAGTGAACCCTTGTGCCACAAGCCTTGAGGCTCTCTGCATACGCCATATTCCTGCCAGCACAAGCACACAAAAGGGTCTTTTCAAGCGTTTTGGGGGTGCGAGTCGTTTCCGCAAAAGGTTAGGAAGGAAGGAAGGAAGGAAGGAAGGAAGGAAGGAAGGAAGGAAGGAAGGAAGAAAGGATGGATGGATGGATGGATGGGTGGGCGGGTGGAATGCACAAAAACAGGTACGAGGGCCGGCGGGGCATAGGGGGGCGTGGGGCGTGCGGGCGCGAGGGTCTTGTGGTTTTTTGGTGGTTTCGAAGGGTTTTGGGTGGAGCTTCGGCTTGTTGGAATTGGTGGCTTAAGGTGTTGGCGGTTCATGCTTTGGGTTTGGGGATTAAGTCTTGGGGCTTTGGGGCTTTGCGGCTTTGGGATGCCTTCGGGTCAGGGTCTTACACTTCGGGGCTTTGGAGGTGTTCAGCTTCTATGGCCGATGCCTCGGTCCATGGACCGGCGGTTCAGTGCACGCGTGGGGGGGCGTCCATCGGGCATGGGAGCATGGGCGTTGGCGTGAACAGGGGCGTGGGGGGTTTGGGTGGGTGGGTGGGTGGGTGGGTGGGTGGGTGTGTATGTATGTGTTGAAAAACAAAAGATATATATATATATATAAACAAATGGAATAAATAAATGTGCATGTGTTTGTGTGTGTGTGTGTATGTCTATGTGTGCGTGTGTGCGTGTGTCGGCATGTGTCGGCGTGTGTGGGCGTGTGTGGGCGTGTGTGGGCGTGTGTGGGCGTGTGTGGGCGTGTGTGGGCGTGTGTGGGCGTGTGTGGGCGTGTGTGGGCGGGTGGGTGGGCGGGCGGGGAGGTGGGGGTGTGGGGTTGGGGTATGGCAATTCCGTTTGTGCATCGCCTGACGTAGTTGAAGGGGGCGCTCAGCGTGGTGCCGGCAGCCTTGGAAAGGCTTTCTTGGCGTCGAACCCTTGGGAAGAGGAAAGATGGGCACCCGGCTGCGAAGAGAACAGCAACACAGAAGTCATGCGCAGGTGAAGTCGGCTCTGGGCCTCGAAAGGACAGTCTTGGGCTTCATGAAGAAAAACAACACAGCGCAGGCCGCGCAGCCGAGTCTCCCGAGTCCCGGACCGCTTCCCTGCACAGCCGTAACATGTCTTTGTGGCACAAGTATCCTCGTCTGGTGTGCACTTGCCTGGAAGAACTTTCGCAAAGAGAAGCACAGCCCGAAGGTTCCGTCGCGAAATGCCGTCGAAATGATGCCTTTCTTCATGCAGTTTCACTGGCAGAACGCATGATGATCTGTATTGTCCACCTCGCAGGAAAACCATGGGGCCAACCTTGCGCAGCATGCGCATTGCCTGGGAAAGCAGGCGCAAACGTTGACATATCTTCCGCACTGCGAATAGCAGAGGTGGCGATGGCCGAGGAGGAGCAGGATCAGGGCTGCGGCGGATGCAGCTACTGCTACTGCTATGCTACTGCTATGCTACTGCTATGCTACTGCTATGCTACTGCTATGCTACTGCTATGCTACTGCTATGCTACTGCTACTGCAGCAGCACAAGCAGCGGAAGCGTAGCAGCAGCAGCAGCAGCAAGGATCACGACATTTAAGATTTCTTCGCTGTCCCCAGCGTCCCTTTGCTGGTTCGCACAATGCCCCTAGAAGTTGGGGGCCTTTAGGCTCCGAAATACAGGCTAGACAGCCAAACCAGAGCCTTCTTTCTCAATTCTGTCTAGACCTCTTACTCTACCCGCTTTATGGGTACCTAATTTTGTATATAGTAGATAATAGGCATAAAATTAGGTACCCCACAAAACGGGTGGGGCACAAGGGGCCTAGGTACTCAGTCTTCCGCATGGGCTATAGTCTAAACTCCTAGTATCCCCTTTATTAACCCCTATAATACTCTCCGATATAATCCCCTAAATAACCCCCTTTCAGGAGTTTAAACTCTAAACCCCAAAGTCTAAACTCTATATCACCCTCTTTACGGTAAGGAGTTTAGACTATAGCACCGCATGATCTCTTCGGGGCTTATGTAGGGATTATGCAGAGATAAATATGGATAGAAAGCCATATGTAGGGAGATATAGAGGATTCTATAGAGGATTCTATAGGCTTTACCATATTACCCCCAGAATGGAATATCAAATGTAAAAGCAAATGGAAAATGACATGGAAATCGAATGGAAGCTGGGGTTTTATAGTGACAATTACCATTAGGTTGATCCGCAGCTTTACTAGGGAATGGAACATCACGTAGGAAAAGCAAGTGGAGAATGGAATGGAAGCTGGGGCTTCTCGGGATAATATAGAGTCTGACGGAACAAGCTGATCACGTTTTGGGCTGGGAATGCTCAATTGCCAGCAAATTTAAATTCTACCCGTGCATAGTGCAATCAGTGGCAAAATGCATCGCCCTGGAACTTCGTATTTTGTGGGCTTGGCCTAACCACAGTTCCCAAAACCGAAAAAACTTGTGCATAGACCCGTACTGTAATAGGAATCCTCAACATAAAGATCAATACTATACTGATTTGCAACCAATCCCCTTCGTGCCACGAAGCTCTGAACACTAAACCGTGAACCCTAAACCCTTAACCCTGAACCCTATAGACCCCTTGAGTAGATCATGGCTTTTGGTAGATTTTCATAAGATCCTCATATACCCCATATTCGATCTACTTACCGGGGACTATAACTCCTGAACCCTTTTTGCTCTATTGTCCGCCTGATGATCAGCTTCAAGGTCGCCGCTTCTGGGCTCTGCACCCCGCAGGGTTTCAGACTTCCTTGAAACGGGCTATCAGGGGCTGTATAGGTGTGTAGGTATATATAAGTATGTACATACCTGTAGTTCAAATATGTTGTGCAAATATTACCTACATCTAGAAATACGTATCCATGCATATTCCCCATATCATTTCTCCAGACCATTTCTCCAGACAGATAGACAGACACAGACAGAGAGAGAGAGAGAGAGAGAGAGATGTCAATGCGAAGACATGTTTGGGTTCCGTATGTACTGGTGATCATACAGCTTGGGCGGAGGCCAGTATTGCTCCTTCCATTCCAACTCTTCCACAGTTGGGTGGCCATAGAAGAGGAGGTCACTAGTGTCCAAGAACAGTGAGAATTTTTCGAAGGTGCGCTTGGTCCAGTCAACGTCAGACTGGGGACGCACGAAACTTGTCTGGTCTGGTTTCAGCTTGCCGGGCGTGCTGTGATCCATGCCATCCACCGCGCAATCCTGGAAGAAGTGACCACCATCGCAACTTGACCAGGTCGTGCAGTTTACCTTAGTATTCCGAATTCCCGCAGCTCTGCATGTTTGAGACGGACCGTCGAGTTGCATCTTAAAGCTAAGCAGCCGTTGCTGACAGGCGCTTTACAGCTCTGTCTTTACATCCTGCATGCTGGGCCCTGGTCTCCAGAATGACAGCCAGCTGTTGGAAGTCGACCCAGCCATCCATAGTCCCGCCAAAGCTCATTATGGAAACAGGCCTGGTCCCGGGCTTGGCGCTCTTCTCAAGAGCCCCGGGTCTATAGGGGTTATATAATAGGGGTTGTATGGAGGGATATCGGTTTAGGGTACATATCTAAGGTTGGTTGAAGGTATGGGCCCTTAACCCTGCACGTATATACATACCGCAAACAAGAGCCGGGATGAACATTACCTAACAAGCTGTTGCGTCTTCTGCAAACACAGCCATTTTACAACTAACATGGCCTTGCCGATGGGCAGTCCATCTTTGGCAGTGGGGAAGAGGGCTCAATGGGTGCAGAGGCAAGGAAGTACTGGCTCCTCTGGCAAGCCATATTCAAGGCAAAAGTGGCGCCCCAACTGAAGCCAGCGACGAAGACCTATCCAGTCAGGGAGCAGCACGAGATGATCCATTCGTGATGCTAAGGGAGCCTTTGTCCGGCTACATTTCGCAAATGCAAGCCGGCCTTGTCTCTGTCGACGCATGTGTGATCCTGCAGCCATTGCCAAATAGCATCCACCAGGGCCAGGTCTCTGTCTGCTTTACCCGGCCAGAAAGCGCACATCTCACCCTCCAAGGATTCAAAGCTCCCCTGTACGCAGCAGTCGACGGAATCACAAAGTCCGGAGCAGCATTCCCGAATACCGCCCATGGCCCCGGGGCTGTCTAGACGCGATCCCCACGGCAGGATACCTAGCCATCCATAGCGCATGAGCTCCTTCGAGAAGCCGAGCTCCTTGTCGTGGAACCATGGAGACTCGGCGGCGCCATGGAAGGATATCACCAGCGGAACGCCAGATTTGCCACGAACCTTCTACATGAATTGCTGTCCACAAAAAAGCGTACCCCCCCCCCCTCCGATTGATCTATCTCCGTCCCGAGGGACCCCCGGAATAACAATGCCAGAAATGTACGTTTGAACGTCTACGTATGATCTAGGGTTAATTAACCCCCAATTAAAATCGTTGTCCCGAGAGACATGACACTTTTGGTGGATTTCATAATTGTGGAGGGAATTACAATTGTGTTCCGGCGTTGGGATTTTATGAATGAGGGGGGGAGTTTGAAAGTGAGGTCAACATGAACCACACAAATCAAGACGTTGGAGAAGATGGGGCGCAACTATGGCTGCTTGCTTCAAGTTGCTAGCTCAGGTGGCACCAGGAACAGGAACTGCCTCTGGATGCTTTGAAGTTGCACAATGTGCATGCCAGGTCCATACCCCGCGGAGCAGGCGAAACTGCCTTCACTGGGGGAGTTGCCCACTAGTGCGGATTTTGTTTGCAGCAGCTGCACCTCCACCTCAGCATCCGCAGCCTCGTCCGGTGCAGCGGTCAGGTACTTGGCTCCGCCACAGCGCCCAGACAAGGACGCTATCCATAATGCGAAGACAACACCATGGCTGCGAACCTTGTGCGTTGTCATGAATACCCGAAGGTTGTCGGGTTCGGTCTTGAGGACAGAGGCAGACATAATGATGACACACAAACTTCCAAGAAGATTCTAGCAAAGCCTACCTACAGCAAATAATCCAACCCTCTTTAAAACCAGTAGAGGATCCCTGTGGAGTGGCTACCAAAGCTAGAGGCTGGGCGCTTGCAGTGATTTTTCCATGGTGTCATTAAGGAGAACTAGGGCAGGGAATAAGAGAATGCATCAAAGGCGGATGAAAAAGGGATGAAACTCCCTTATCCACCGTCCTCCTAAAACCCTAAGTCCTCAGTAGAGGAGTACCCCGAATCGAAGCTCCTTCTGAGCTTCACACTTGAAGCCGTCCGTAGTTCTACGACTCCCCGCGCTAGAGCATGGCGGATCGACAAATCCTGTCCTCCCCCTGAACATGAAGCCTGGCGGCCTAGCATACTGCTTGCCTGACCTAGGGTCATAGCATGTTGCCTTATTCTTCTGCTGGACAAGCGCACCATGGGATCTGCGGGTGATAGGACAAGATACGGAAGTGACAGGGGAAGAACCCAGCCCTGGAACTAAGAAAAACTGAGGACAATCCACCCAACAAGCAAAAGTCATAAAGATTTGTAAGTCGTGGAACCACAGCAGAAATGCTTGGCTTCTGCTGTGCAGCCGGGCTGAGGAACAGACAGTCTGATTGAAGGATCGTCGCACATCGTCCTCCTTCCACATCTGATACCTCCACGAGACAGACGCTTTGCCGAGCGACTCTCACGAGCTCCAGCTCACAGCTCATCACAGCTCACTTCACATAGCTCAAAGGATTCAGGAGGACGCCGCACAGCACTCCTCCCGCCTCGGCGGCTCACAACAGCTCCGCTGAAAGACACGCTTGCCACAGGCTCCGACCTGTCCGCCCAACGCCTGAGAACCCGTGGCACGAACGCACAGCTCCTGCACTCGGGCTCCGCAAAACACCAAGGCAAAGACACGGCCGTGTTACCCCTGTCCTCGAGTGGAAAGTAAATGCCCGTCGAGAGAGACCGCTGTGTCAGCGTCTGTGTGATGCCTGCGCTTCCGCTGCGGAGGGAAATGCAGGGCCCCCGGCCCTGCGGCTGCGGCGCCTCGATAGGGTTCTCGCCAGTTGGCCCTGTCACGGAGGGTTTGAAGGCGGACTATCAGCAATCCGCAGCTCTAGCACGGTGTCCCAAAAGCCTGTTGAAAAACGGCCGGCTATTGACAATCGCCAGGTAAAGTGCACGATCCTTCTCAGAGCTTTTTTGGACTCTCTTTTTGCAGCGGCGCAGTTGCAGTGGCCCTGGGGCCCTGGGGCCCTGGCCCAGGGATTCAGCAGAGCTGTCGTAAAGAAGCCGGCAGCGATGCCGCACCGGAACGAGGCGGGCGAGGCGGGCGAGGCGGGAGCTGCCTCCGGCCTAGCACGAGCTCTTTCGGCCCAGCATTTTCTGCGCCGCTTGGCTTCTCTAACTCTGCAAATAACCCCCCTTCTAAGGGGCTCTGAGCTCGCTGGCTGGCCAGAACTTGAAGTGGAAGCCATGGCTCGCCATGTGATGCGCAGCAAGACGACGTGCGTGTGGATGGGAGAGAGTTACGGAACTCAACACGACATGGGCTGAGCGAGGATGTCAGAAGACTCCCGATGCGTGCACTGCCTGCTCCTGTAAACATATTCAATAAGCACGAACGATAATTCAACCTGACCTTCCGGCACATGGCGAGCTGAAGCCTGTTGCGTACTGGCAGAGAAGTCACGTGGTGCGATGCACGGGAGTCCTCCGCAGAAGGCAAGCCGGCTTTTTCTGGCGAGTCCTGCAAGCGAACTGCTATGAAGGGCGCTCAGAGCAGTTCAGGCTCCTAGCGCCTTCATCGTAAGAAGGGCGAGGAGTCCGGCGAAGACGGCGATGGCTCCCGGGCCAAGCATCCCGTAGCGCCACCCAAACCTCGCAGCCAAACCTCCTCTCAGAAGAGAACGGAACGGAAGAGAAGGGAAAGCTGTTGAAAGCTGACATAGGCTGACACTGTCCGCTTCTGCAGCTCCTGCCAGGAGTGGAATCAAGAAGCCACCGATGTTGTGAGACCTCGCAGCTTGCAGAGCTCAACAAAAAAATCCCTGGACAAAACTTCTCCAAGCGCCCGGCGCATTCCAACTACTCCACCACTTCCCGCGACTTCTGGCCTGTCTTGCGCAAAGCGCCAAACGAGAATCTCGGAAGTCTTGGAAATTGCTTGGGGAGGTGCTGGAAACCAGTTCACCAGCATCTTATTGCACGGGGTCGCTCCACAGCCCTGGTGCAACTCGGATTACCAAGTGTGCAAGGCCCTGCATGCAAATACAAGATACTCTCCTGGAAAAGGCCATTCAGGACCCAGATCGCAGTGAAGAGGGGAACCTGCCAAATCCGCACCCCTTGGTCAAGCTTCATGGCGCACTTAGACTTGGCACAGAGCACCGCGCCGTGCTGACGGCGGCAAAAGCCATGTTAAGAACTCCAGTGAGCATAAGCCCGAGGGAAAAAATCAGCACCTCAAGCAAAGTCATGGCTCCCGGTAGCCATGTGACGATGCGCCGCGACCATGTGTCCTATCGCCGTGGCACCGGAGATCCCAGCAAGTCAGACAGAACCCCGGACCTCACAACGATCGTTCTGAGGCATTCGGGCGCAAGATGCGTCTCTTGCTCCACAAACTGAGCCCACGGCAGAAACTTGGAGTTCATATATGCCTGGCAGTTCTATGCTTGTGTACATTTGACGTTCATGTCAATGTGCAGCTCTTGCATGGCATATGCATACCAAGCTGCTTCCCGTGCGAAGGCATGCAGTGTGCACAATGTATGTGTATGTGTGATGCGAAGCACGCGCTGGCCTTTCAAACCCTGCGTTTACACCGCAAGCTGAAATGTGATAAAGTCATGCATCTGTGAAGCAAGCGGCTCGGCAACTGTGCTGTGCTGCAGCAGACCGGAGCTGCCTTTTTCTGGCGGGCTATGCATGAAGCGAGTTTCGGCCCAGCTGAAGGGCATGGGCTGCTTCCGGCGACAACGAACCGCACGGCAGCCGGATAAGTCCTGGTGTTTCTCACGCTCGTCTATTATTCGTTGTCGCTGGGCTCAAAATGCTCAAACTGCCCGGCCTCCTTCACCGGGGCATGTCTTCTCGCATGCATCTCCCCAACCTTGCTGTCGAAGATGTGTTGTTTGGCCTTCCGCCATTGAGCCCTTTTCTGATGAACTCCGTCAAAGTCTCGGCATTCGCCTTGGTCAGGATTGGCGTTGTGCTGCCTTTGGGCTCTCTCTTCCTTCCTTAGGTCCTCGCAAAATGTCTCGCGAAGCGAAGCACCCCCAATCTCCGTGGAGTCCTTTGCCAGGTAGTCATAAACCGACCATGCTACCCCAGCTCTTCAAGTCCACTTGCCCTGACAGGGCCTTTTCCAGCAACATCATTGCCCAGTCCCAGTCACCGGCCTCCACGGTTTCAGCTAGGCGGCTGGCCTCTTTGTTTGTGAGGAGTGGTAGCCGATGATGTTCGCCCAAGCCTCCTTCCTCAATTATCTCCACACTCGAGACAAAGTGCCGCTACCGACCTGTAGCGGCACTGTAGCGCAACACTTCATTATGATCTGGAGTGCCCTTGGCATATCCGGAATCGGCCAGGTGAATGACCACTGCACGAATGCCGGCTCCTCGTCGGGCCTGCCGTACTGCTTAAGTCGCACCATCGCGTGGATTTGCATTTTGGACCCCCAATNNACCCCCCCCCCCCCCCCGAAAAATGAAGCCTTTTCACGTGATTCGTGGAGCATTCCAGGGCCCGGCTCAACTTCTCCGAGGCGATTTCTGACATCTCAAATCATCAACATGAGTCACCCAAATCCCAAGCAAAGCGCCCTGCAATCGCAACCATGATCACGCAGGGCCGGCCAAGACAGCCTCGCCGCCCCAGCGAGTCCATACACATGGCACAGCCTCGTTTCGCCCTGTACAAGCCCAAGACCTCGTCCTTGGACGCGACTTCGCGAGACAAGGGGTGCCGTAGATCCCGTCATTGCTGGTGCGCACCCACCTGGTCGGAATAACCGGATCTGGTTTTCCGCACAGGGTTTTCGGGCTGTCCAGGAATTTCCCGGCGTTCCATTCCTTCTCGTCTGCGCCACTCGCATCTGTGAAGAGCCTGCGCTCCTCACCTTGTCCGGAGCGCGGTTGCTTCCTTCTTCCCCTTGCTTCTTGCGCCATAAAAACTCGCAGGAGTTCACTGCCCGTGTTGCGTCCCGTTCACACTCAACCTCAGCCTGGCTGACATTAGCCACTGGTTCTCCTTCTCTGCCAGCGTCTTCTTCGGCAGGTTTTTCTCCATCCTGCGGTAGCAGCGGGGCTTTCGAAGATCTATAAACCCGCTCTCGCCGGAAGCTGGTGACGGCGGTCTCCAGGGCCTGCCACTGCTTTCGTGGAGCCTCTTTAGCTTGCCCTTGTGCTCGCTAAGCTCCTTGCCGAACACCGCCACGTAGAGCTTCCGGTCCTTCGCAGTTATCGACCGCACCTGGGATGCCTGTGACATGGCGCGCCATTGATCCCAGTCCGTGGTCAGACCATCCAGAAAGACAAAGGACGTCCTCAAACGCACTTCGTGCGGTCCTGCACGCGGCTGTGCCTCGCCTGGAGGAACATCTGCCTTGGCCATATCGGGGAAACCCAACCGCTATCCAAGTTGATCTTGCTCCAACCCTTCCTTCTGTATGTAATCAGGGTCCCCTCCAGCCACCGGATGACTCGGACCAGAACCCACGCCACGCTGTGGCTGCTTGGCACGCTGACATCGGCGAAGGACCATCTGATCTGGTGGCGGTTGTTGTCTCCAAGTGCTTTCTTCTTTCCCCAGCATAAACTGCTAGATCGGGCTCGCCAGGCGTATGGCCTTCGCTCGTATGGTAGGCCGCTGAATCACGAGGCAATGCGGGCTCATCCGGTTGTGGTCTCGGAGCGCTGCTTTCTCCAGGGTCCACGGACTCCGGCCAACACGACGCCGATTGGAATCAGGAGGAGGCTAGCTCCTCCCACGCACCGGCGGCTGCTACCGGAGCGGCTGCAAAAGCTAAATCGGCCAGAGAGTCACCGCAGCTGCTCCAGAGGATACCAAGACCGTCAATGAAGCAAGCTCACTGTGGGGTAACACGAACCCATGTCGCAACATCAAGCAAGATTTGTCATCCTATAGTCGTTGAACGCACATATGATAGTTCCTTCCTGAGTGGTCACTCAGACCATTCTTTACTGTTGCTCATTTGATATTTGTTACGTGCTTGTCTACTTGCCTGTATATTCGCTTGATATTCAAGTAGTGCTCGCATACTTTGACACTGATGCAGTTGTATACTTCGAACCTAATACTTAACATTTGGGGCTATGCTGAGTTGTGCTCGTATAATATGTGCCCCGGCGGACAGCACTATTGACAGGCAGTCAAGCCCAGAGCAAGACCATCCTCTTGAGAACAGCCATAAGGCCATTGGTTACATGGAGAAGAAGATCTGCAAGCTGAGGCAGCTATGTCGTGAAGAAGGAAAACGAGATCCTGTTCGGGGATGGGACATCCTGGAAGGACATTCAGGCTGATGGCAACCTCTGACAGACACGACATTTCTCAGGATGTGGAGTTCAAACACTTGATCANNAGAGAGAGAGAGAGAGGCAGGGCGAGAGAAGCAGATAGGCAGAAAGGCATAGAGACAGTGGGATGCAGCACTGCTGTTTTACAATACTTAGCCAGGACTGCCAGTGGGAACAAAGAGCTGATCGTGCCCAACCTTGTGCATCCACGCTGCACTTTCAAGATCGGAGGTTGTAAGCACTGTCAGTCTCTCGGGTGCCACCTGTATCCTGCTGAGTTCCGTGCTGCACCATGCTAAGGCCAAGGTCCTTCCGCATTGCAAGACCTAGCACACACACTCGACGCTGCACCATGAGCCCCAACAAACCTTGAAAGACTAAGTTGAGGCAGTCCCTGGGGTGTCTACCCACATATGTGAAAGACAAGCGAGNNTAGCCTAATACCTCAATCAAATCAGGCATCATAAAACGCAGCTTGGAGCGCAGCCCCGCGTCCTAGAATACCAATGCCACCGTCACTCTGCAATGGACAAGACAAATACTGACAACACCAAGGCACCATGCCCGCAAAGGTGACCTTTGCATCCACAGCGTCCCTCTTTCGTTTCTGTCTCTAACCAGGCCCGCTCCAGTCTTATCGGCTTCTCTCCCCGGCTTGCAGGCTTGACACCTCCCTTCCCCCCAGGCATCCCCCCTGTCGAACCGTGGACGCCTTGAACTGTTGTGCAACCCTTTAAAACAACCTCAAAGCTTGGACATCCCTGTGACCGCCTCGAATCACCCGCCGTCAACAAGAGACTTGTGTCGGCCGAGGTGCCGACGACTCCCTCTTCAGAATTCGGGTTCAACAGAACCTCTTTTCGGCAGCCCCCCCTATGTAATGCCTTTTTGTGTCTCTCTCTCTCTCTCTTGCCTACGCGCACAACACTGCCTGAGACCTCTCGGCCCGTCACATGAAGAGGTTGCACAGGCACAGCACCACACAGCTCGCTTCAGGGCAAGTCAGGGCAAGTAGCGAGGCGGGTCTTCTGGAATCGCAAATCGAGACCGTCGCCCTCGAGGCCTGACTTCGCTGCTCTTCGAAAGAACTGAAAAGCCTCGAAAAGCGCCTTCGTTTGCATCTCCGCCGGTCTTGCGGGCAGAGCTCGAGGAGGCGAGGGAACGGCGCCAGTCGCGGTCTCTTCTCAGCACGGAGAAGGCCAAGGCGCCTCCAATGCGAAAGGATGTGTGATGCTGTCGGAGTTCGATCAGAAGCCCTGCAGTGTCAGTGTGAGCTCAACCTAACGCCCCAACAACCCTAAAGCCACACCGGCAACCCTAGGTGTCTTGGAATGCCTGGCACCGAGTTCCTGGCCTTAGCTGGAGGTTGCTCCCAATGGATGTTTTGCTTTGTGGTTGATAAACGCTCGTGCGGACTTGAACAACAGATGAAACATCCGAAGGAACTTCGCAGAGCAATTGGAAAACTCACTCCGAAAGTGAGCTTTGCTTTGTCCCAGAACAAGAGAGTCCGACAAATTAATCTCACTAGCCGTTGACTTTTTCGAAGGCTTTCACCGTCTTCTACTGCTTCCTCGGTTCTCATTACCTGTTCAATTTACTCTTCTTTACTCTTCTTACCGGGTCCACCGACCTCTAAGCCCGATGTCACCTGAGAGAGCTTCACGAAACAGCACGGCACCGGAACATGCAGCAGTTATCCGGGCATCTCGAAACGTGAACCTCCCATTGTCACTGGGCGAAGACACACATCCTTGAGCTGGACCAGAGCATTGAACCTTTTATCGAGCGTTTCTGACTTATTGCCTGGTCTCGTGGTGCTCAATTTCGATGAGGTTGTCCTTAAGCTCTTTCGCCACGTGATTGCAACAGATTGTGCACTTCTTTTTCAGCTCAGTATAGTCTTACATATCCTGCTGGTGCTGGGTGCCTCCACTGAAGGCTTCTTGCAAATGCACAAATCTTGCTCCGGAAGAACCTTTGCAGAGTTCCCGGAGTTATCCGGCCTCGCCTGCTGAGGCGATCCCAGCCCTGGCAGCCCTGCCAGCCCTGCGAAGCGAGGAAGCGGAACCACCAAGGCCGGGAAGGCGGAGGCCGGGAGCCGCACAAAAAGGGAGTCACGTTGCTTGCGGCGGCACCGGCGGCGGCACCGGCGGCACTGGCTGCCCCGGCAGTGGCGGCGAAAGCCTGCCAGCCAGGGAGCAAGCCAAGCTCGGCTCTCCAGCTGAGCCCCGCCTTCTGGGAGCTCCTTTGAGCTCGATCTCGCTCGGGCGACTTGCCAAAAACGAAGTTGCACCTGAGGTGTTTGCCGCACAGAAGCCTCGGGGGCCTCACGACCTGGGCAGCCGGCGGGATCGTACAGGCATTTAGTGCGACCAGCGCCTCACAAGGCCAGCCGAAGTGCAACAAAGGCTGCCATTCGACGCACACTGGCCTTCACTCGCCTACGGTGAGTGACCGGCACCATCGGGAACAGGAACCTTCAGCTAAACACTTTGAGCTGAAACCTGCGAAGCCAATGACGGGACCGTTGCCGTGCTTGCTTCTGTGCACATAAAAGGAACGGAGATCGGCACGACTCGCATCTCTTTCGCGCTCCAACACACATGTTGTGTGTGAGCTGGCCACGGCCACGGGAGGTGGGTGAGACTGAGACTTTCTACACGAACGCATACGCTTTGCTTTAAGTTAAGGCAAGGATCTAAGCTCTCAGTCTAGCAGCCTAGTCTACATGCAGGAATATTACATGCAGGAATATTACAGTAGCGCAGACATATGCGGGGGCGAAAAGCGCACACATGCAGCGCATTTCTTGGAGCATTGACTGAATTCCAGCACCCCTGGAAGATGGGCGGCAGATGGCGGCAGCAAACATCTGGCTCGGACCAGATGCCCACCCATTTTCCGGTCGCCGCTGGTGTTGAATCGGTTTCGTTTTGTACAGCGACGTTGCACTGCAAACCACCCTTAGAGCCTTCGAGTACAGGCTGCGACAGCCTTTCTCAGTTGTGCGCAGGTTCCTCAGCTCTCCCCAGGCAAACCCTTTGCTCTCATGAAATGGACGAACGTGAGTACTATGTCGTTGTGGCGGCCGGGCTTCAAAAATGAATACCTTCGCAAACCACGACTTGGGCTGCAGGGAGCACCAACGGCCCCATGGGGCCCATGGGGCCATTGACGCGCGCAGAGAGTGGGGGCGAAATCACCCGGGCCGACTTTGCAGCCGCGGCCGACATCCTTGCACTCTTGCAGTGGAAAGGCTTCCCTTTGTGCTAGCCCAGCTCAGTCCCAGCTCCCGCAGTCCTGACTTCATGCGAGCGCGCCGTAAGAATCCGCGGGTAGTCCAGGTGCATGTTCTGGAGCATCGGCGACACCGGAGTGACGTGGCCTCTTGCTCACTAGAGCCACACATCTACTCTGAGCGCAGCTGTGCCCACCTGACTGAGGAGCATGAACCCCGAATGCAGCATCTTGAGGGTGTTGAGGATGTACCGGTTTCGGAGGTTCCAGCCTGTTGACGTCTGAGCAAAGCCAGAAAAGCTTTCAATTTCACACACAGGCAGGAGCTTTCCTTTGCTGAACTCTGCACCTGTCGTAAGCTGACCGCACATACCTTGCGGGGTTGAAGATGTGCCTGGGCTCACAGCCGTAAAGCTCCAGATCATAATAAGTAAAACAAACGCACTGAACATGCTAAACTCCGGCTTTGCGACGCCCCCTCTTCATCTGCCGGAGGTCGGACCAACACAGACTCATTGCTCATCCGGACAGGAGGAACCACAGGACTTCTCCTAGCATTGCTGGAATGGGTTTGGAAGCTGCTGCCAACTGAGAGCAGTCCTCTGATTCTGCACTCGATCGGCCATCGCCTCACCTCTAAGACAGCGAAATCCCTATCTGACTCAGCTTTCTCACTGTGGAGTGTCAGACGTGCGTGGATGTGAAAGCTGTGTCACAACTCAACAACCACGCTTCTTGGTTTCTGAATCGTTCTCATCTTCTCTGAAAATAGCCTTCGAACCCGCAGAAGCCACAAAACCTCGCCGCACCTCCAGGAAGCCGGAGGGCTGGCGAAGTCCTGCGAAAGCCCAAAACGCCCAGGAGAAAACTGTGAACACATGACTTAGCCGCCACTAAAGAAAGCCTCGGCACCGCAGGGTGCTGCGCCGCCCACGGCTTAGGCAGGCGAAAAAAGGGAAGGGATTGTCAAAGAGAATGAACAGACCGCAGTGTGGCAACGCCCAGCCCCGGCTCTGTGAGGAATGAGAAGCGCGACATAGCGCGACAGAGGGAAAGGCGCTGCTCAGGCTGCGGACACATGGAGAGCTGCGACAGCAATCTGGCAGAATCGCCCGTATTGGGCAGTCGGTGGAGCATCGCTGGCTCGTTTGCTCACTGTTTTGCTAGACTGAGGGACTGGTAGATCTGCCCCATCGCAGGAGGCACTCGTCGATTCTTTAGAACTGAACATGAGGGATGTAGACGTTCTAGTGCGAGAGCTTCGTGGGGTCACCAGCTGACATTGCTTACCGTGGCTGATTTTGTGTTAGATATCTGCACGAAAATAACATAAGCGAAATGAGTACCCCACGTCAGCGTCAATGCGTGGCCGCACTCCATCATCGGAACTCTCGTCGTGAACTTTACAGCTTTGGGGGGAGGCGGCCAGCCCGATGACAGAACAGCGATGAAAAATGCTTCTGGCTGTCAGGGAAAAGGCTGCAGCCTCACCGAGCTGCACGCATCAAGGTAAACATGTCTGCTACAGAGATGCATCTTATTGGACTTGACGCTCGGAAGAGAATCAACGTTTGCCTGGTTGGCGTGACTGGGCACGTGCGAAGAAAAGGGTAAAAGGAGGGAGTGTTGCAAATAGGCCCGGCCGTGATATGTATTGTTATTCTGGTAATTCCATGCGCAACGCATGATTCTGCGGTGCACGTTGGGGAGCGGAAGAGGCCGGTGCTTCTGCGGGACACCCTCGGTTCAGGGCCAACAGCAGGGTGTTCCGGGGGCTGATGCGGAAGCATGGTCTTATAAACATCACTGCCTCCTCCACGCCTTCCACCGCAGGTGTGCAACAGCCCCTGGTCTTCAAGGCGACGGATCTGTTTTTTGCTGAGTCGCGGCCCCATGCCCGGGAAGTCCGGCGGGCGGCACTTTCTCAACATGACTCACGAAGAGGCGGCCGCGCCCAGAAGACCGGGAACGAAGAAAAGCAAGAAAGAAGCTCTTCGTTACCGGACCCCGAGATCTTGAGCCAAAAAACGTCTCCTGACACAACACATGCAGTCGAAAGTTCCCAGCAAGCGGCAACTCCTTCCGGAGCTCCGCGACGTAGGCGGCGTCTGTGGTGTAGTGCTGGTAGGGCATTGGTGGAACGACGATTTCCTCGGGGCAGCAGGATGAACCAGGGAGGGTGCGACCTCAAAAGACTTCTCTGCCGAGCGGCGCCGAGAGCCCAGAGAGTGGCAGCATCAAAGATGGCGCGGCGGACACTGGCGATGCAGCCACGGGGCTTGCAAGGCTGGCGCCACGGCTTGCGGGCCTTGCAAAACCGCTTGTAGAGTGCCAGGACATGTGTGGCAGCCAAGCACCACGCGATCGCCGCGAGTCTGCGTCCGCCAGCTTGGGTTGTGAGCTCGCAGGCGACCACGACACTGCGCCGCCTGCACCTGCGTGATCGTTCGTGGAACCGCCCCTTGGCCCCCTTGGCCCTTTGGCCTGCCGAGAGTCCCCCCCGAAGCTCCTTCTTGGCCTTGGGGAATCAGGTTCTCCAAGTTCGCCCTTCATCCCGCTCGCCACTCTCGCAGACTCGCCACTCTCGCCTCGTGGGAGGAATCCTTTGTGTCTCCAGCGCCTGCCATCTTCCTTGGTGCAACAACCTCACAGAAGCCTGAGTTGCAAACCAAAACCACCGGAGGTCTTCACAGTGTCACACAAGGCTTGAGACAGGTGAGGCTGAAACAAGTGGCTATTGCAATTCTGGCGGGGCGCTGCTGAACGTCGCAAAGTTCCTTTGCCTAGAAAATACCAACGTTGAGACAAACATGAGCTGCATTGCTGCATTTATCTCGTACCTTCGCGATGAGCTCATACTGCGCTTGCCTCAGGCTGCGCTAGCTGACGTCGAGGCCGACTCCCAAAAAATCTCCAATGCCAAAGGGCTTCCGCTTCGACAGTTCCTCTGCCAGCTGCTGCTGCAGCTCCAGAACGGCCTCCGCCCCACGACGACATCTTCCGCCAGCTTCAGTCAGTCCCCGACATTCCCCAACACGAAAAGCCTCGCTGTTTCCCTTGGCGACGCGGTTCTTCCGCTCCCTCGGCCCACGTCCCATCTCGACACCTCCCTAAACCTCTTTTGCTTTTCTCAGGCACCCGCTGCTCCTTCAAATGATCCTCACAGCGACAGGACAAGCACAAGCGAACTGCAAGGCATTGCCGGAGGTCTCCTGCAACAGCTCGACGCGGCTTTGCAGCCTCACAGCTCTCGTGATGCGCAAAATGGCCCTTCACGACCAGGCCAACGGGCCTTGTGACGACAGCCTCCATCATCTCGATCTTCCGGTCCTGACATGTCGCGCATCTTCCTGCTTTCAAGAGGTTACACAGCTGCGGAACTTCCGGAGTCCTTTTGGACCGAACGCTGTCTTTCAGCTTCAAGCTCTTCCTGGTGGCGGGCGTGGCGGCTGCCCGAACGGGATTCGCAGTTCCCTGCGCCTCGAGTTTTGCCATCTGCGCCTTTCACAGAGAATTCTTGCTGTCACAGAGAAAGGACCGGATATTCGGACGTCAGCTAGAACCTTTCCCCCCAGAGGAAGGATCTGGGTACAGGCCCTTCGGACCTAATGCTTGCACACAGAGCTATTTGTGTCTTGAGCCACTTGAGAGGAAATAGGGAACCGAATACTTATGCACATGTGAGTATGCCACCAGGCCATTGCTGTAAGTACATATGCAGAATGAGGGCGTTAGGATTTCCGGCTTCACCCCGCAGCCCCCCATAGCCCCCCCAATTCCGCCCCCCTCCCCCCCCTTGAGCTTTGCTTCGCCCGGTAACTCCAAGACGGCACAAGGGCGCTTTCCGCCCTCTCGAGTCTGCTTGAACCACATCGTTGTTTTACGCAGTAACACGGTGGTGCATGTGCAAATCACAACCAAGCTCCTGGATCTATTCTTCCCACGGGCATGCTCTGGAAACTGGAGATTCTGACCAAAAGGACAGATCCCGTAGACGCAAGGTTCCCTTCATGGTCCTCGCCAAGTAAGGTACCCGGCCCGGGCACCACGAAGTGCTGAAGAAGGTGAAAACCAAATAATCACCGCAGACGATGTCTGATGGCCAGTGCAAGACACCACGTGAAACAAGTGCAAATGGTCTCTCCATGTCTCACCCTGTGGGAAGCTCACACGTGTGCGGCCTCTAGTGCAGGCAGCGGTTTGGCTGGAGCCTGAGTGCCACGTGCGCTATCTCGATCAGTCGAACACTGCCACTTCTTGCCAGCACTCTCCTGAGCAGCACACCTCCCCATCTGACATGGTGCACGTCAAGCTAGGGGCTAGGTCCATCGATTCTCTACGCAGCATCCCAAAATCGTGATCCTGCAGAAACTGTACGCATTTTTACAACACCGGATGCTGTCCTTCACATTGTCGTTCAATACTACAAGCTGCCGATGTTGAACTGCAAGGCGCTGATGGATGGTTAAGTCCCTAAAGCAACACATTGGATGAAAGCTGACGACGATTTTGCCACGATACTGTTGGACTGGGCATGCGCTGTGCCTAAGGATTAAAGTCATCATGCAACTCCACTCAGAGCCGAATCGCATTCTGAATCTATATTGCGATTGCCATCTTCGGGATCCTGAACCTCGTGAGCATAATACCCGCGATGACCACAACCACACGACTTTTCCCTCCGTGTCCTCATCATTCTGCTGAAACCAAAAACATCACGAGCAACGGGCCACCAAGAACATTGCGTCGCTGTTGGCTGGAAGGAGTTGGAATGGATTAAGTAGAATATCAGCATACACTGCATACGCCGACTCATGGCGATCCCGACTCAGCACAGCGGCATCGGGGAAGCTCTACTCCTAGCAAGATATGCCAGATGTTGCGAGTCTTGAGAATTTCAATGTCAACGACGAAGGAACACCAGCCCAGGCTCCTCCATCTCGCTCTGAAGCTTCCAACCTCCCCGCCTTTGTTTCAGCAGCATCTTGCCTGATGTGGGGCGAAATCGAAAAAGCTCACAAGGGAAGCTTCCACTCACATGGAACCATTCAATGCCAAGCCTTTGCACTCTTCCGGCATCTCTCTGATGGGCTCACCAGTGTCATAGGGTGAATACACGATGCCCTGGGCTGAATGCTACAGTCGCCGGGTACCCACTAAGCCTTGCAGTCCACTGGGCCTCCGTGTAGTGGTCGTAGCGAATCGTTTTGGCGCGCGCCCACCACTCCTCTGATGCAACCTGGCCATCCCAACAACAGCGTCGCCATCAGCTGGCAGTACAGATCAGTACAGCGTTACCAGCCAGGGTCCCGGCACCAGGGATGAGCTCCCAACGGTACATCACTGGGATGACCTGCAAGTGCGAAAGCATGAAACCGATCTCATCCACTTCTTCGTCTGGCCTTGTACGCTGCCCACACACTGGCCAGGCCGCCGACCACTGGCATTACCTGCAGCACGGACTGTGACCGAATCCAGCAACATCCCTGCTTCACCTGCCTTGTCCATGGCGAGCCACGGCAGGCCACGCCAGTGGCCCCAGAGAGACGCAGCTGCGCAGCTCGAGCCGATCCAAGCGCTGCAGCTCAAGCCGGACAGGGGTATCCGCAAACATCTGCAACTCCAGCAGTCAAAAATTGTCATCCGTCATAGTCCATAACGCGCCTGCAACTACTCTAATCGCGAGCAGGGTGTCGGCATCATTTTGGCGAATTATCCTGGCGAGTCAGCTGCACAGAGCACGACATCAACCTTAGTCATGCAGTCACTTGGTCTCATGCTGCAAAATGCCCAATTCAAGTCAGGTAACTGGCAAGCTTTGCACGCAGCTTCCCACGAAGATGCGAAAGTTCGATCCACGAATCATCTCGGGTCCCTGCACTCTGGATCTCAAGGAGTGAGCTGTCAACATTGAAGGAAAACCGTTTTTTCAAGCAGCTTTCGACAGCCGAAGCGACAAACAAATTCTCAGTGCTCGCAATGTTCACTATGGAAGGCTCCCGCAAGTTCCTGGAATATGAAATGACACCGTGGCTCGATGCCGGACACATCCCCGAATATTCCGTAACCAATCCCCTGGCAATGCTTCTGACCTGAACGATTTCCAAACATGGAAACTATAATTGGTTTCTCTTGGCCGTCTTAGCTGCCTTTGCTCGATAGTGCCTTGAAATGACTGTGCAGGCGTGACGGATCGTGACGGGGCCCTGTACTCTGGCCATCATCGAGATAGTCATATCGGTCATATCGAGGCATCCCTTGCACTACATACAAGTCGGAAACAAGAGCTGCACCAGGGCAACCAGCAACACTTGTCCGTGCCTCCATGGTTAAGGGGTCCTCTTCCTCCAAAGTTTCCTCTCCCTCGCGCTGCAAGCGATTCTGATCGCACTGCTCCTCCGGCCAACTCCGACCCACCCTTCCCCTGAAACCATTCAAAAGAACCACGCTTCACCACAGCCCCAAGGGGCACTCCCTGTCCTTGGTCAGGCACCTCAGCCGCTCCACAAAACCTCGCAACAAGCGCCAAGTCTGGGCGGTTGCGCGCTTTATCTCTGCGGCGAGCAGCTGAAGAGCATGGGATTCAAAAAGTCGCGAAACTCCCGCGTTCCGAAGGTCCCCGAGTTGACTTGCAAGCACAGCAACCTTAGAGCAACAGCTGCTGCCATCTCAGATCGGAACCAACAACACTAGCATAAGATAACATACGACTCTAAACTCTAAGCTATGCCAGCTATGCGGCTTGAAAGGCAGCAAGCTGACCCAAGAACTGTCGAGGAAGCTTTCGTGGCGCCGCAAGCTCTCAAGGCAGAGCTCCAGGGCGCGCTCGCGCCACTCCGAGGCTTCCGAGGCCTCCGAGGCCCAGACGGAGTCCGGCAGCCTCTCCACGCTGAAGGCACGGGCCACCACGAGCAGCTCTTTGGCCCGAAGCTCGTGCAGTTGAGGGCAAAGCAAGCCGCACCTCGGCCGCTCACCGCTCACAGCTGGCTATCGCTCTTCCCTGCGATCGAGTCGCAGCAGCGCAGTCAGCTGGACCGTTGTGCGGCTGCTCAGATCCAACGCAGCCAGGCTCTGCAGGATCTCGACGCAGTGGGAGCTTCCCAGCCCCTTGATGCAGGGTTGCAGCTTTCCTACGGACAGGTTTATGCAGTTTATGCATCACGACTGACGACATGCCTCCAGTGTGCGGCGGCCACTGCCGCTGCCGAATGCTTCACAAGGTGTCGCCATCGTGCGAAGAAAGTGTGGAGACGGAGCCCAAGTCCAGCAGATGGTACCTGTGAGTGCCCCAAGAAGCACGGACAAAGCCGCTAGGTCGCGCTGCTGGAGCTTTGCAAGCGCCGCCAGGGAGCTCACGGCTTGCACCGGGCTAAAAGTGCCAAAGGGCCCTGGCCCGCCCCCTGGCCCGCTGCTGGCGACAACACCACAGGCCGCAATGTGCTGGCAGAGCTTCTCCAGTGAAAAAAGCAATTCCGAGTCCGAAGAGTCCGAAGAGCCCGAAGTCCGCAAGCGACACAGAGCTGTGAGGAGGTGTTGCACTGAGACAGGTTGCAACCGGCGCGCTCGGCCGACAGCTGTGTCAAGCAAGGACTTCTGACTTTCACTATCCAGGCCTCCAAAATAAGAGAAGACGTTAATCAAGTTGCAAAGGCTGATCGATTGGATCCTTGCTTGCTGTTCCATCACTACAGGCCTAAGTGCGGCCAGCAAAGGCTCATGCTGGTGTCGCAACTTTAATAGCCCTCTCAAAAGACGCACGAGGTCAGCTTCAGACAGTGCCTCCACTCTTCTCACCAGATCATCACAAAGCGCATCCAGCGAGTCCAGTGGCAAAGCATCTCGAATCTGCAAATTGCTGACCGCATAGACCAAGTCACAGAGATGGCTCGGAGGGATTTGGTGGACTCCTTTATTCAGAGATTCTGCAGCAAGCATAAATACGGCATCATCGTAAAACTCCCATTTGCTGCATGCGAGGAGCATTGATGCTGCGGCGCTTGCACTTGGAAGTCCCACACACAGCACTTGCTGGCAAATGGCATGCAGCAGGACATACTCCTCGTGTGGATCTCCTTTGCCCAAAGCCCGTGCAAGAGGTGCCAACATCTCTGCAGGGACGCCGGCCATGCGCCCGTTCAAAAAGCCACACAACCAAGACAGAAGCTCTGCCGAACCCTCCCGGGAGCCCAGGCGAGCCAATGTGCAGAAGAGCTCTGCCGCGTCGGCCGCTTTGCTTCGAACGCTTTCTCCCGGTCCTCCCAGTCCTCCCAAGCCTGCCTGCTGCGCCACGTCCCGGCTCAGCTTCGCCAAGTCCTCCTCGCTGAGCTTCCGAAAGGCGGCGCGCCCCGCGGCCTTGGCCAAGGCGCAGAAGACGCTGAGCGCCTGACAGTAGCGGAGCGAAAGCGAAAGAGCGAAAGCGGGGTGGGTACCCCCTGTGGTGAAAGGGCTATGGCCGAGGGCTATGGCCTCCGTGCCGAAGTCCTGAGGCTTCTCGGAGAGATGGCGGGCACAGTGCTGTACAAGCTGCAGGACGCTGGTGGCGGCTCGCCCAGACTCACCTGTCATAGACTGTCACATGCTACAGGGGACGGTTTTGGGTTTGAGGTTCCTTTGTAACTCGCGCACCTTCGTTCTCACGGAGGAGACCGAGGATTCGGACGAGCCGGAGAGGCTGCCGGGCAATCTCCACGTGGGTGCGTAGCAACGGCATGAAGCCGGGAAGAGACTCGCGGAGACTTCCGACCGCGACCGCCTCGAGTGCTTCCAGCACTTGTCCCGGCTTCAACCGTGGTCCGCACCGCTCCAAACTCGCCGCCCAGAGACAGCGCCGATTTCTTAACTCGGCCTCGGTCTGGGCCTCACCTTTGGATGAGGCGCTTTTCAAGATGCGCAAGAGGAGCTGCAGGTGGCTCTGCCGCAGACCGGGCCAAAAGGGCCAAACTTGCCAGCGGCTCGCAGCATCACTCGAGATTGCTCCGGTCACTGTGCGGGTTACACCTTGGGTCACACCTTGAGGGAAGCCGTCCCTGTCCCTGCCTCTGCCTGCCCATGCAACCCGGAACCGGCGGAACCGGGGAAGTGCCGCTCCTCCTGGAGCCTCTTTGAGACGCCGAAGCGAACGAAGCGAGAATACAAGCGGCTCAACCTTGGGGAAGCGAGCACGAGCGCGCCATGCACAAGGCACCACGGACTCCATAGGCCTCGCATCCCGCACTCGTCCTACTGGCCAAATCAGTCTTCGCGAAAGCAGTAGCCACAATCCCACACAACCAGCTCTAACCGATTGCTGTCAGGCACAACATGATTATTTTTCATGTTCTGCCTTGCAGCTGCATGCCTACGGCATGAGAAATGCCTCTGATGTTTGCTAGCACCGGACCCTGACTGCACTCTCTGGCGATCCGGAACGCATCATTTTTGCTGCTTGGGGTAACAGAACGCATCTGGCTCATGTAGCTCATGGAGCTCATGAAGCTCATGATGCTCGTGGCTCAGGGGCACACACTTCATCACTTTATCGAAGCTGCACACAGATGCCTGACAACATGCATCACTATCACCGAAACCTTTGGAAGCCATGAAAGAAGTCCGAGACAAGTAAGCGAGGCACAGTGTTTGGCAACACCGAAGAGCGGATCGCCTCCAAAGTCCTTGCAGGATCTCACAGGAGGTTCAGCTGGTGCCGCCCCGCATCCTATGCTCCTGCGCACCGCACCGGATCTCAGAAGACACCGCGCGAGATGCATGCTGGGTCTGCAGTAGAGTTGCCTTGTCTCACACTCAGGGAAAGCGAAGATGGCACGGGCAAGCCATGGCAAGCCGCTAGGTCTGTCTGCTGGGCGCCACCACATACAAAACGTCGGCCTCGCTGGCAAAACGAACGGACGTTGAACGTGGTAGTGTGGTAGTCTCGTCAGGAACCCGACCGTAGAAAACATTTCCGGTGCACCGGCAAAGACCCCCATCGTTTGCACCTTGGTCAAATTTTTGGTCAAACCTGCAAAATCTGTTGTCGACTGAGAACGATGCACTTTGACGCAGGCCCGTCATGAGCTGCAATGGCTCGCTTGACCTGCACAAGCCACAAAGCCAAGAACCTATCCCCATGCTGTTTGAGCGCTCCTGACTTCGCTTGTAAAGCTCTCCTGCAACCTCAGATCCGCAAGAATCGCAAGATGGCAAAAGCTGCCCAGCCGATACAAGCCGGACACAGCTCCAGTGTTCGATGATGTGCCACGCTCAGCTGCTACTTGTAAAAACCTCTTGGTGACCAGCTGTTGTGTTGTCAGCCGTCAGGTCGAAGCAGGAATAGGCGTCCGCGAAGCCCTGATCGAGGCTGTGTCGAGTCTGGTCTGTTCGACTTCTCAGCCCAACCTGGGAGTTGAAGAGGTGGTAAAGCTTCCGAGACAGCGGCTGCTTCACCGATCGTTTTTTCCAGTATGTAAGGGCATCGTTCACAGAAAGCTTTCGCTTCAAGACTTCCACCAAACCTCGCATTCCGGAAACTGGAAAGGTTGCACAGCATAGAGTGAAGGTTTCAAGCTAAACCAAGCAACCGGTAGGGACGAAGCTCTCGTCGCCATCAAAGATGTAACTCTTGAAGCTTTCGTTCCTCCTGAAGCACTGCAAAACGCGAGACAAGGCTGAGGCGGCGAACATCAAATCTTTCACCGAAGACTTCGGGCTCCAAGTCTGCATGTGCACTGGCTCAGACATGACTGACGGTTGATGTCTGTGTCCGCCATGGTGCTTGAAAAGATTGATGAGAGCTGGATGGGAGATCCCTTCACCAAGACCAGCCCAACGGACGGAGCAGGCCAGCGATGGATCGTCGTAGCCTGATCCAATGACCCGACCGTTTCCTTTGGGGGAGTGGACTGGAACTTCGCCAAGTGGCAACACATTCCAGATTTGGGCACCATGTCCTGTCCGATAAGATGCTGGAAAGGTGCTACATTGCACAGCGCCGCACGACGGTGTCCTTGGGACAATGCTGCTGCATGTGCTCCTTCTGGGATTTCCATATTGCACCCATCACCTTGCTGCCTTTGCGGCCAGCCAAAAAATTTGAGCTGAACTGGCCCTTGTGGAACTTCTGCCCTTCGGCGGTATATGTTATGATGTCGTGGTCCTGAATCCTTAGTTGAGAGTCCTTGCCAATCTGCTCAAAACTGCCGGCTGCCTTTGATGCTGCTGAGATGTGGTCCGATCAATGATGGATGTCATGTCGATGGCCAGGAAATCGGTGTCCATGTAGACACCGCCGTTGTGGTAAATCAATGCATAGCGTATAGCATCCGATTCTGCCGCTTCGTATGGGATTCTGAACAATTCTTCCGGCGCATCCGGAATCCTTGCAGCATGGCGTCGCTTTGAAAGCTTCATGCATACACATCGTGCATTGTAAGACATCCAGTGCACCGAGTCTCCACTGTCGGACATTCGTCCTGTTGATCAAGACTGGCTTCCCACAACGGCCCCCAGATGCACGTTCCCAGGACTGCAAATTCAGATGGATGTACTCCTTGGTGGCTTACTTTCTCCCAAGTTGCATGGGATGCACGAAACACTTGCATTGTGCAGTCCGGTGGCAGGAACTGGACGCGAATAGTTCCTTAAATGCCGTCCAGATTGCTCTCGAAAGCACAACCACAACCATCACCACAAGGTCCATGCGGCCAAGCACCACATAGTGAAGATGTTGCAATGTTCAATCCGTCCTGCCTTGTGCTTGAAAGCTGAAACTCCAGGAAGTGCCAAGCATAAGGAAAAAATCCTGGCCGGCACAAGGCATGCTTAGGATGAGCATGGCTTGGAAGGGGGTACTGGGCATTGTGGCTGCATCCAAGCAGCCACCACAGCAGCCGCATCACGCCACCGTGTAGATTACTTCATTCTGTCGAGATGGGAAACACTGCAGTGTGCTCTCGTGCGACTGTCTCTGTTCGCATCACTTGATGCAAATGTGCAACTGCTACCTTTGCAGCGTTTGCATCATTTGCATGGCAGGCTTTCTCCGCAAGATTCGGCGTTGAGGTATAGTTAGTGGCAAGTGTAGGACCGAAGATGCCAGCGAAGGGGCACAGTCGGTAGTAACCATAAACAAACATCTACGGGAACACCAATGAACTTGTACAGCACTTGAATTGCGAAAATCCGCCCGAACGGATTAGAACATGCCTTAAGACTTGATCGTAAACTAGAGCGCGCAAACAAATCAGGACGAGAGCGCGACATCCTCGAAAATGTTGGCGAAACGTTTTTCCTTGGAGGTGCCTTGGTACATATCATAGGGCCTTGGTGCGGTCCATTTATCCGTATCGACCGCGCGCGACGCGGGGAACACCCGTGCGGGAAGGACGTAGCCCGTAAGACAAAGTACAGAAACAGGATCCTTCATTTTACTCGAAAAGGTTAAAAGTTTCTTGCCAGTCCTTGGAGCAAGTGAACCGAAGTACGGGAAGGCGACTGGTGTGGCAGAGATCACTGCTTCATATATTGGTGAGGGCGGGCGGGACAAGCAGTTTCTGTGCCAAGGAATATGGGTTTCCACCCCCCGTCCCTTGATAGTAAGTGCAACGGGAGACATTCGTCACATCAGAAGCTGTAAGACACTGACATGAAATTGAGAAATGAATGCTCGGTTTGATAAAGAATATAAAGCCATCGAGTGGATGGGAGATGAATTGCAAAAGCTAAAAACCCGGCGTCGACACAGGGGCACTACCCAGGGCTCAATAGGCAACGCTCCTTTTCTCGAAGCCACAAAGAGGGTTGCGGAAGTAGCGCAGTGGTAAACTGTACAATGTACAAACAGCGTGAGAGGTAGCTTAGCTCAAGCCCTCGGGGGTCCTATGTGATTTCCCGCACCTCCCCGCCAACCGCGAGGGCGGCGCCTCCCGCTCCGGCGGGGCTACCGCTGCACCAGATGGTGCTGCCGGCAATGAAGGCAGACGGGCATCTGCTTGGGCCACCCGCCGATCTGCGGGCAGTTCTCAAATGCGGGCGGCGTGAGATTGTCCCATACTACATAGAAGTGGTGTCGATCCTCGTCCCTGATCCCTATAAGCCTATAACCGTGTTGCCCCAGCACTTGAGAGCGACCCTGCCGGGCCGAAGGTTTTTCCCCACATCACTGTGGGGTTCTTACTTTTTCTGGCGTGCGTCCGCGCCTCCTTCTTCTTCTTCTTCCTCCTCACCCTCCTCACCTCACCACCACCACCGCCACATACAACACACACACACACAGACACACACACACACACACACCTTCCTCACCTCACCACCACACACAGACACACACCCACACACACACACACACACCATACACACACGGCCCCTCTGGAGCCTCTTAGAGGCCTAGCTGGACCCCGCGCGCGCCTTGGGATGCCTCTCTTAACTCTCTAGACCGACCCCCCGCGCGTTTTGGGACGCCGGGCCTCCCGCGCGCCTTGGGATGCCGGGCCTCTGGAGCCTGTTATAGGGCCTAGCCCGACCCCGCGCGCGCCTTGCGATGCGGGGCCTTTGGAGCCTGTCAGAGGCCTGGCCCGACCCCCGCGCGCCTTGGGATGCCGGGCCTCTCTGCACCTGCACACACACACACACATCACACACACACACACACTCACTCACTCACTCACTCACTCACTCACTCACTCACTCACTCACTCACCCACCACACACACACTCACTCACATTCACTCACCCACTCCTTCACTGACTTACTCCCTCACTCGCTCTCCCACTGTTTTTGCGTTTCCTGTCGATGCTGAAAATACACATGTGGGGTTATCCGGTCCTTTAATTCTTTCTTCATCCATTCCTTTCTTTCCTCGTGCCATTCGCACGTCACCTTCAACCATTTCAGGCCCTTCGGCCATGTCAAGATACTCACCAATGTAACCAATCGTCGTCATGTACTTCCGTATCTTGTCACGCGTAAGAGACTTGGTACCCAAATCAGCTGTGTTGTCTTTTCCTGTGATCGCCTTTATCTTGAGGTTGTCTATCCTTTGAATCCACAATAGATCAACATCCAGATGTCTGGCTTTACCAAGACCTTTCCTTGCAATCAGCTGCCTCGAACTGCTAGAGTCCGAATACAACACCATCTTTGGTTCCTTTCCGAGGATCCGCGTTCGCAAACCTCTCAAGAACACAGCTTCTGACAGTATTGAAGTAGCTGCTACCGTTTCAGCTTCACAGCTTGATAAACTCACACACTTCTGCCTTTTAAATTGAAAGTGAATCAAGTTGCCATTCAGCAGGATGGCACCACAAGTGGACCACAAGAAACACTTTGTCTGCTTTCTCTGTCAGCTGCCCAGTCTGAGTCTGATATCACCTCCAACAGACTTTCTTCCTTGTACGAATCTCTTTCTTTCTCTTCATTTCCTTGATCATTTCTGAAGCTTTTTCCTGGGTAACTCTTTCGATGCACCAAGGATACATCAGGTGTACAGTATGTCTCAGCAATTCCAGATCGCTGTTTGTTGGGTTCGCCAGTTTCGTGCTCAACTTCTTCAACACGTACATCACAATTCTGGCACAAGATACAACAGTATCCCGACTCCTTTCCGATACACGTGGTGCAACTCTGGAGTCAACGTGAAAGTTTTAAACCAAACTTTAAGGTTCCCTTGATTCACCGGATCGCTCTTTGACTTTTCCTTGACGGCGCTGGGGCAGTCTAGGGTCTCCTTGAGCCTACACGTAGCAGAGTGAAACATTGTGAATTAGTCCCCAAAATGGGATACACAGGAAAATGAAATGTTTGTTACGCCCTGTCGGATCATTCTGGCTTTCCAGATTGAGCCGACTGCAAACATTCAACTGCTTTCATTTCTCACAAGCTCCACTCGAGCGTCTCCATTGTCACACGCTCCATTGAGCTTATCACCATTCACATATCCACATTTCTTCAACTTCTTCTTCGATCTTTGTGCTTGTCGTGGATATCGTCGTAAGTCCTGTGACGAAAATTGTGTGAAACATATCTCTCACTTCCCATAGAAAACTCATGCAACTCTACATGCGCACTCACTTCTTTTTCTTCGCGAAAGGTACTCGCGGTTCTGCTCGAGAAACGCCCACGCCGGACTTTGAATCATCGGCATTCGTGCCATTGGCATTCAGCCTCTGCTTTTCAAAAGTAAAGCTTTTCAGCTTTTCGTAGTGCCATTTGTCGTGAGCTGTTGATTTTTCTCACGCTTTACAAGCTTCCACCTTTCTCGCACATTTTGTACACTCTTCCTCGCTGGATTGTAGAGCCGCGGCAGCTCTTTCGAACTTCTCCTGGCAACCATAGGTCGACCTCTCACTCCATATCTTCTTTCCTTCATTCTTCTCTTTCTTTGTGTTCTTGTCCTTCTTTTCTTTCTTTTCCTTGTGCTCTTTCTTTGGCTTCTTCTCTTCTTCTGCTTTCTTTGGCTTCTCTTCCACAGCTCGCTGGGGCATCCCAACGTACGCCGTGACAATCTCCGGCTTCTCCTTTACCGGTTTTGATCCTCCGGCGCTTTCTTTTCTCTTCTTCTTCTCTTCATCATCATCAACCGAAATCACCTGGCTAGGATCATCATGCTTCCGCTTTTTCATCCGCTGCGGTTCTGAAAGTTTTAAACCAAACTTT